ATGACAGAGGTGACTTGCAGTTGCATTGGACAAATGAGGACCTTTTTTCAGTAAATGATGATGAGTCAATTAGATATCCAAATGGAGAATGAATGTTGGCCAATATCTAATGCCTTACACAAAAATCATGTTCAGATGCATTCTAAGTCAAAATGTGAAGGATGAAACTAACTTTTTTAAAGAAGAAAACAGCATTTATTCATGACTTTTGGGGTAGGTAAGGATTTCCTAAGCTTGATACAAAAAACACTATCCAAAGGAAAGACATACATTAAGGTTAAAAACTTTTGCTCATCCAAAGACAAATTATAAGGTGCAAAATGACAGTTTACATTCAGAGAATTTGTCATATGTATATTCAATACAGGATCTGTGCTCAGAATATATAAAGAACTCCATCAAATAAATAAGAAAAAGGTACTCTACCTAATTTAAAAAATGGACAAAAGACTTGCACAGGTACCTTGCAAAGATATTCAAAGAGCCATAAATATGTGAAAAGGCATTCAACTTCGGTTATTATGTAATAATACCTCAGTGCAACATCACTAATTACCCAGCAGAATGGCTCCACTGAAAAAGGCAAAAAAGAGCAGGTGTTGGAGGGAGCGTGGAACAGCTAGAACTCTCAAACTGTGCCTCCTGGCCATTTTGCTGAGGGCGACCACCTAAATGTCCCTCTGTTGCTGTCCTGGCCTATGCAGTGGTGGTCACAATTTGCACTTCCCCAGATTACTGCATGTATGAGGGTCACATGAAGCCCTTCACGTAGAACCAGGCATGTTGGCCATGCACCACATGTGGGAGCTTTTAGAATCTTCTTTTCAGGGCTTACTACCCTGCTCTTTCCCCTGGGTTTGTCTGTAAGGGCCTCCTCGTAGTTACTAGAATTTTTTTAAAAAATTTATTTACTTTTAGAAAGAGGGGAAGGGAGGGAGACAGAGAGGGAGAGAAACATAGATGTACAAGAGAGACATTGATCAGATGCCTCTTACATACCCCCAACCACTAAGAACCTGGCCTACAACCCAGGCATGTGCCCTGACCGGGAATTGAACTGGTGACACTTTGGTCCGCAGGCCAGCACTCAATCCACTGAGCCACATCAGCCAGGGCTAGAATTTTTTTCAGAGATTATTTAACGAAGGCAATGATGATAACAACAATATTAGTATCATCCACAGTAACTGCCAGTTTAGATATCTTTTTTTTTTACTTGTTTATTCCTCCTAACACCACCATAATAGTTAAGTACTAAAGCAGTAAGGTACAATTGCTGCTCTTATTTTACAGTTGATAAAACTGAGGTGCACAGAGATTAATGACTTGCTCAAGATCACCCAGCTAGGTCCAGACTTTCCACTTCTTACTCTGGTTTCTTTGGATGGTTCCATAACTTCTCCCATAAAGTGCTCTTTTAATGACTGTTTGGATCCAGCCTGAGCTCTCCTTCCTAAGTTCTGGAATATTCCATGTGTAATTTAATAATATTAATTATGGCCCCCATCACAACGACCACAACATAATAATAATAGTAGCAACTAGCCCTGCATCTGTTGAGTGCTTACTGTGTGCCAGATGCCACACTTGGCTCTTTATATGCATTATCACATTGAATCCCTGGAATAGCCCAGCAAGGAGGCCTTGGCTGTTACTGGCACATTATAGAGGCTGAGCTCCAGAGAGTGAAGTGCCTTTTCCAAGGCCACAGTTAGGAAGTGGCCGGGCCAGGGGTCAAGCCCAAGTCTATTGGACTCCAAAGGCCTGATCTCTTTACTACCTCTGTGTGCTGCCACTTGCTGTATTTGGCTTTTGGACCCTTGACTATGTTCAGTCTCTGTATGCTCAGGTGTAACATGTTCATGAAGGCAGTTCCATACCATCCCTCCATTCACCATTTATTGAGCACCTACTATGCTCAATACATTTTTGGCGTTATGAAGATCCATAGGGTAATGTTTCTGATCTTGAGGAACTCAGGTCTAGTAAGGAACGCAGGTCATTATAAATGAGGATGGTCTGTGCAACAGCAACACATATGGGGACTGAGGTGCAGAGAAGAGGGAGTAGTCAGATCCCTCCAGGTGGAGGGCAGGGAGGTTCTTTAAAGAAGGTTTTACCAATAGGTGCCTGAGGTGAGTTTTGAAATAGGAATAAGAGTTTGCTGATTGGTTAGGGCAGCAGGTGTATTCCAGGCAGAAAACACAGTGACTAGAAGTCAGGGCTAGTCCTAAAGATTTTAAACTCTTCTATCCCAAATGGATATCATTCTGCACAAGGAAGGAAACACCAGAGCGGGGAGAATCTACCTCTCCCCCAGCACCAACAGTGCCTGTCACAGCAGGGAGTGGGCACGCGTGGACCGCATGGGGAGTGCCACTGATGGCCATGGTGTGAGCGTGGCAGTGGCTCTGGAACTTCAGTGGGAGCTTGTTCAAAATGCAGATTTGGGGTCCTGTACCCAGGAGCCTGTTGGTTGCTCTGAAAGAAATGGGTTTGCCTCAGTGCTTGATTGTGCTGATGTGTACCCTTTACTGTGGACAGGAAGCCACTGTCAGGACAGAATATGGAGAGACAGATCGTTTCCTATAGGCAAAGGTGGCAGAGTGAATTTATCCCCCTGTTTGTTTAATCTGTACACAGAAAATATCATGTAAAAAACTGGTCTAGATTCAGAGGAAGGAGGAATGAAAATTGGTTTAAGAAATAATAACTTAAGATATGCACATGATACTATCATGGCAGAAAGTAGCAATGGTTTGAAATGACTTCTGGTGAAAGTGAGAAGGAAGTGAGAAGAAAGCAGGTCTTGCATGTGAATGTCAAGAAGACCAAAATCATCACTACAGAAGGAATACATAACTTTAGCTGCAAATCATGACTACAGAAGAAGTACACAAATTTAACATAGTAAAGATACGGAAATTGTTCAAGATGTTGCTTACCTTAGTTCAATTGTCAATTCAAATGGGAACTGCAGCCAAAAAGAACTCGATAGAAGGCTGAGATTCAGAAGAGCAGCAATGGAAGAATTAGGGAAGATCACCACAAAGATATGTCCTCAGAGACCAAGGCTAAGATCATCCTTGCCCTCGTATTCCCAGTTACTATGTACAGATGTTAAGGATGGACAGTGAAGGAGGCTGGTAAGGAAATGATTGCTTTGAAATATGGTGTTGAAGGAGAGATGTGTAGATACCCTGGACCACCAGAAAGATGAACAAGTGGGTCTTAGGGCAAATTAAGCCTGAAACATTGCTGGAGGCAAAAAAAAAAAAAAAATCGACAAAAGTGAAGCTGTTCTGCTACTGGGACACTGCGAGAAGGCAGAGTTCTTTGGAAAAAGACAATAATGCTGAGAAAAATAGGTGGCAGCAGGAAAAGAGGAAGACAAATATGAGATGGATTAACTCCATAAAAGAAGCCATAAGCCTGCGTCTACAGGAGCTGAGTAGGGCTGTTGAGCATAGGACATTGTGGGCATCACTCTTGCATGGGGTCACCAGGCGTCAGAGCCGACTCAACAGCGTGTAACACACCTGGAGTCAGTTCTGTGGCTCTGGGGCAGGGAGCTGGAATCTGCAACTTAGGTGATTCTGAGGGAGGTGTCCTGTGAACCACAGTTTGAAAAACTCTGCTCTTTGGACCTCTTGGGGAAGATGAGTCAAGGTGACATGAAGACAGAGAATCACGAGTGAATCATCCAGTGATTCATCCCAGGCTGAACCAGTGCTGTGGACTTACCTGATTCCGGAGGGAAACTGGCATCTGCTCCCACGTGAAGCCCTGTCTATAAATTTGGGCCCAGGTGTTGGAGATTTCTATTTTTGGAGGGCTATTCCTGTTATTGTATGGCAGAAGGTTCATGTAGTTTCAAATCAAAACCCAGCCCCCTTAAGGAGCAGATTGCTCCTTATTGTTCCATCTGAAAGATTCTACCTCTTACAGCTTACACATTACATTTTTAGAGATTTTCGATGGGACAGTCCTATCTAACCTTTCCCTGTCTTTCTCTCACCAGGCCCCAATTGAAGGGGGGCCATCAAAGAAGTCAGGAAGTGACCCTTTGCCTTCCCAAGTCTGAGGCTGTCATGACAGCACAGGTTACCTCAGTCTGTGAGTCCTACTGATGCCATCTCTTAAAAACTGTGCCAGGTGGCAATCCCAGGACACCCAGCCAGGCTGCAGTGCCCAGCACTGCTTGGGACTGGCCTCAGTGATTCAGTCACTGTCACCACCAGCAGAGGGCCTCAAAGACAGGCCTGGGCCTTCCTGTCTCTGTCCCAGGAGCTGGCATAGGTCTGGAGCAAGGTAGGCCTTCCAGGACCATTTCGGGGGTGAAATTCAGTGCCATAGTCTCAAGCCCACTTGACTTTGTGAATTCAATAATCTGCACTCAGGAAATAAGATCAGTGCCCTGCAAGTAACCCACTTCGTGGGAGCCATCAGTTCTGATGGGCGATCTGTGCTTTGTGGGGAATTACGGACAGTCCAAGGGTCATCTTGTGATTGCACGGGATTTTTACCCCACGTGCTGGTTTTGAGCCTTCCCTAAACTGTGACTGCGCCTCATGCAGATCTTGTGTTAAGCATTCAGACCAGAGCCCTATGTCTCCACTTGCTCAACTAGCATCACTCACAGTTGGGGAGTATGTGAAAAAGGCCAATGCCTGGTCTTTTCTCAGTCCCCCTGAATCTGCATCTCCAGATCGGCTCCCATACGCCCACCTTATCCAGTTCTCCAGGTGATTCTCTTACGTACTCAAGTTTAAGGATGGCTGTCTTCAAGGGCTTGATCATTCTCTCGCCTCACTTTGGGTTGGTGTGTCCCTGGTTGTCTGCCATTTTTCTTGAATGTTAAGTTCTGTCTCATCTGAATGGGAATTGTGCTAACTGTATCTGAAAAAGCATAGCCATATTGTTGCCCACATGTTACTAATGGTCATTAGCCTGGCTTTCATTTGAGCTGGTAATCTTTACTTTTCTTTCCTTTCTCTCAGGTACCTGTACCATGTTTTGACCAAAAACACCACAGTCACAGAACAGAACCGGAACCTGCTAGTGGAGACCATCCGCTCCATCACCGAGATCCTGATTTGGGGAGATCAGAATGACAGCTCTGTGTTTGAGTGAGGGTTTAATTTTACTTCTTCCTTTGAATATTTTTCTAAATGCATATCATGAGTCATTGCTGATGATGTCAGAATTTGATGCCAATTTGGGTTTGTACAGATATTTATATTCTTTACCTATATAATAGGGAAGTTATGGAAATGAGTCTCTCTAGAAAGTCTGAAAATATCATAGATAATTTTTCTAGTAGTGTCTGATTACCACCGCCAAGGAAGGTGACAGTATCCTGAGTAGTTAGACTCTAGGTGAACTGGGGGAGACAGTAAGGGCAAACATTTGTTGTGTTTACTGATGGGCCAGGCATAATGCCAAGCTCTTGATGAGATAATCCCCCTACATTTCCCAGTGACTCCAGGGTAGAAGCCTTGTTGTCCCCATTTATGTGTATAGGCACACAGCGGGCAAGTGTTGAAGCAGCACCTCATACCAGAGCCCACGGAGGGGTTTATCCTTATTCTCATACTTTCTAGGTGAGCAACCTTAGGCCAGCCTCAGTTTACTCATCTTTAAAGGAGAGAGAAAGTTCCCTGCCTAGTGCCTGGTATAGAGTAGGTACGAAGAAATGTTAGCAGTTCATTAAAAAAAAAGAAAAAAAAGAGGTGTCTCCATTGCACGGTTAAAAAGCAGAGGCCATAAATCATGAACTACTTCCCCAATAGACTTGTCTCAGCATCTGAGTGCAGCAGAATTTGGATTATGACAACCACCAGGCAGATTTTATTTTTATATAAAATAATCTCAATTATAAGTATTGAGGTCACTTTTAAGACCATTAAAAAAAAAATAAGGTATTCTATTTCTAACATGGCTTCCTATTAGATATCCTGATTTTCTGAATAGCTCTCTGTTTTCGTCAGTAAGGTTATCTAAGATAAAGCTACTTGTGGAAAATGAAAACCTGTGACACCGGCCATGATCCCCAAAGGAAAGCATGAGTAATAGAGTGAGGTGCTGCTTAAAAATGGGACTGGCTTCCGTTAAGGCTCCCTGGGGGTTGGTTGGTGGGTTGGTTGGTGGGTTGGTTGGTGGGTTGGTTTCTGTTTTTGGAAATGAGAGAGACCCTTGTGTTAAAGCTTAGAAACCGAGTCCCATTTTCTAGAATGGACTTCCGTAGTTCATCTGTCAGCTTAGAAAAAGTCCTGAGCTCTTAGAGGCCCAGTGATTCTTAAATGGCTGCCTAACAGAGCCCCCAAAAGAATTTGTTTTTAATATAATTTTTTATTTTGGAGTAGTTTTAGATTTACAGAAAAGTTGTGAAGATAGCACAGAAAGTTTCCATATGCCATTCCTGTTGTTTCCCCCATTGTTAACATCTTAGATTACCAGGGTACATTTCTCAAATTTGAGTAGCTGACATTGGTAGCTAACTATTAAGTAAACTCCAGACTTGAATTGGATTTTGCCAGATTTCCATTAATATCTACCTTTTGCTCTAGGATCCCAGTCCAGGCTCCCACAGTGACTTTAGTTGTCATATTTTCCCACTTTGCTCTGTTCTGTGACAGACAGTTCCTTAGTCTTCTCTTGTTTTTCATGACCTTAACAGTTTTGAGGAGTACGTATCCCACCAGGGAGTGTGGGAATTAAGCTCTACCTTCTGGAAGGGAATAGTATCTACATACACTATTTGAAATTCTCCTGCATGGAAGATTTGTTTCTTCTTCCCGTTTATGTATTTATTCCATCATTTATTTATATCAACATGAACTTATGGATATTTATTTTATACTTTGAATTATAATCCAATACTGTTATTTATTTTGTTGCTGAATTTGTTCCAGCTTTGGGCATTGGAAGCTCTTTCAGGTTGGTTCCTATGTCCTTTGACATGCCCGCATTGTTTTATTTTTGAGCACTTTCTCCCTTTCTGGTACTATAATATGCTCCAGGTTCATCTTCTATTTTTTTCTGTCCCAGCCCTAGAGTTAGTGATTTTTTCCAGGGAGCCACCACACTCCTCCAGGGCGTTTTTAAAAATCCAGGCTCTTGAACTTCACACTGGACCTAGCATTGATCTCTGGGCAAAATCTAGGTACAGGCATTTTAACAAGTTCCCAAGGTGGTCATCATTGTGCTGCAGTGGGCTTGTTGTGGGGTCCTTGGTAGACAAGGTAAATAAAATAGATCAAATGATAGGAATATCCTAGGGGTCACCGCGAATGGCTACCAGAATCAGAGCTGGAAAAGATTTTAGGGATCTTTTTTAGATAATTTATTCATACACTTACTGTTTCATGGATATAAACAGAAGTTATGCTGCCCACGATCCTGCTACTGTGAAACTGACAAATGAGGGGAAAAAGTCACCAAAGCTAAGGCAACCAGCAGATACATGTTTCTGCATCGATTTGTTTGGAGTATCCCAAATGAGAGGTTATCTGCTCTTAGCTAGAATTCAGAGACCACGTAACTAGAAACATCACTTTCTTCCTTTAAAGAAAGGCATTAGGGGGTTCTGTCTTCCCCAAAAGTCAGTGCCCCAGGCTACATGCAGACAAATGTCCTGTCCAGAACAAGAAAGGCAAACGCAGACTTGGAGACTCCCTAGGGTCTCCTACCACCATGTTAGCATCTTCTGTTTCCTTCCCATTCCTTTCCTATCCATTCTGCAGATATGGAAACTGTATACTTGACAAATTGGAAACCAAAACTCTTAATATTAGCATTATTTTGCTCCTTTGTAGGGAATTCCCATTGTTAACACTCAAAGACAGGGAGAGCAAAGGAAAGTGACTTAGTAAGGAAAATGAAGGATGTAAAATATTTGATGAAAAATACTGCTTACCAGTTTTATAAGCATGGAAAGATTACTGTGTAGCCATTTAGTAGGTAAAGATCTTTCCCTTCCTGTCAGAAATCTAGCACTGTTCTTGCATTCTGGGAAAAGAGCTTGGAAGGTTGCATTTGCCCATCCAGCATCCGGGAGGCTGGATAGCACAGAAGCTAAGGCTGTGCAGGTGGCATGGTCTGGCTTCTCTGCAAATGCCTTTGGGGGATGGGGGGTACACATGTGTGCTATGCATGGAACTAGAGAATGATTTGAATTTCCAAATGTGGAAACAAACCACTGATGCTTTCCCATTCTCTCCCCAGCTTCTTCCTGGAGAAGAACATGTTTGTTTTCTTCTTGAACATCCTGCGGCAGAAATCTGGCCGCTATGTATGTGTTCAGCTGTTGCAGACCTTGAACATCCTCTTTGAGAATATCAGTCACGAGACCTCACTTTGTAAGGACAATTCTTGACACCTGCCCCTGCACTGCTGAGTGTCAGCAGCTTGTAGTTTGGCGTGTTTTTTGTGTTGTTTTTCAAGTGTCTGTGCTTACTGTGTATCTTAGTGTGCTGGGCTGCCATGGCAAAGTACCCCAGACTGGGTGGCTTAGACAACAGAAATTTACTCTCTAAAGGCTGGAAATCCACCGTGTGCCTGCAGGGTTGGTTTCTGGTGAGGGCTTTCTTCCTGGTCTGTTGATGGCTGCCTTCTCATTGTGGCCTCACATCTTTCCTACCTGCGCACAAACAGAGTTACGGTGTCTCTTCCTTTTCTTCTAAGGACACCAGTCTTACTGGATTAGGGCTCTATCCTATGACCTCATTTAACTTTAATTACCTCCTTAAGGCCTTATGTCCACATAAGGGGATAGGGCTTCCACATAGGGATTTGGGGGACACACAATTCAGTCTACAATTTAATGTTTTTCCCTGTGTGGTGGTGCTGTGAAGGGCTAAGGGAGGGTTCCCTATTGCTGAGTGATTCTTGGGCATTTGCATTTCTTGTTTATAATTTATTACTAAAGAGCTGGAGTCATTCAGCCAATAAAACAATCATTGGAAGCAGCGGGGGAGGAAGAACTCAGCCACAGAGCAAGGTGTGGGCCAAAGTATGTATGGGCTTTGGCACCTACCCAACTGGCACATGTATGACTCAGAGCTTATTCCTTGTCCTCACTAAGCCTCTGGTTCTTCATCTGAAGCAACCTCCCCCTGAGAGGCAGGTGCTGGCGCTGCCCTCATTTAACACCCAGAGAGCTTAAGTCACTGGCCTAAGGTGACAGCTCTAGCAATGCCAAAATTGAGAAGGCGTTCTGCCCAGTGAGTTAGCTCAGTGGTCCTTAACTGGGACTGATTGTGCCCTGGCAGACATTTGTCAACGTCCAGACGTTCTTGGTTGTGGTAATGACGGTGGTGGTTGCTGCTGGCATCTCATGAGTGGAGAGCAGGGATGCTGCCAAACATCCTGTAATGCACAGGACAGCTCCCTCAACAAAGAATTATATAGCCCAAACTATCAACAGGGTTGAGGGTGAGAAACTCTGATTTAGTTCCTAATCTTCAATACCTGACCATTAGCTTGTTATTCCAAGATGACCATACCAAGCCTCAGGCCCTACCCACAGAAATTAAGAAGGAGAAGGCAAATGCCTGCATGTCTATGTCAGAGGCAGGCTTTATATCTCCACAATAGGTTAGAAAATAATTTCTGATGGATGGGAGGAGGTAGAGATGTCATTGGCATTCCTTTGGGGAAGAAGAGGTAAAAAAGCAGGTGAATTGTGGCTCTCAGAAGTGACCACTAGATGGTGCTGCTGCTCCGAGAGACTCCTTACACTGCCTGATGAATGTGAGTTGACTCACGCTCCCTAAGTGGTTTCCCCTGTTAGCAGCATTTGTTACACTGGATATGAATTATGTGTGGTTTCTGAAAACTCCAAGAGGGGAAGACCCAGCTGAGTGGTGCTCAGATTCCAACTAGACCTCAGGCCAGTTCTGCCACATGTTCTGTGTGTAGTGCTCTCTGCAGTAAATTCTCCAAGCAGCGGTGGAGATAATGCTAGTACCTGGGGGATGGAGTGGTTTGAGGATAAAGTATGACAGTGTGTTTGCAGAGCATAGTACAAGGTCTTGCAGATAGATAGACGTGTCCAGAAGAGTTGGTTTTATCATTAAATCTAGCATTCCCCCATATGTCTGTTCTGTGGTAACCCTTTCTAAGCCCAGGCTACTGGATTAAAGATGCGGATAGAAGAATTAAAATTCTGGGGTTTCTGGATCAGATGGCTTTTCTTATATTATGCCTAAACAGGGTGCACTTCTATAAGGAACCTAGGCAGATGCCACTGGCTTTATGGGGAATACACCAGAGTACTTTTATAAGTCCTGCCAAAGTGGCAGAGATCCCTTTTTTTTAATAGAAGTTGGATAAATGGGGGTAAGAAGATAGATGACTTTTGCTTTTATTTTTATTTTCTAATTATAGAAAGAGAATATCCTCATTATGAAGCAACAACCAAAAAAAAAAAAAATCAAACATTACAAAAATAGAGAAAGCAAAAGTTCTGTAGAATCTCAGCCTATCAGTTCAGTGTACACATACCATTTTGCTGTTTGTTTTATTTTTGCTCAACCTACTAGTGTGTCTTAGACCTTTTGATTGTCCGTTCATGCCTTCTTACCTAGTTTGGTTCAAGACCTGCATTTCGCTGGGCCGTAACTTATTTAACTTGACCATGGGCATTTAGGTGGTTTCCAGATTTTCACTATTACAAGCAGCCATTTCACAAGTGCACCTGTTGCCTGTTGGGTTTGGTGACCTAAGTGACAGAAGGCCTGAGAGACTGAGATTACTTATAGACTCCTGGGTTTATTATAAAAGGGTACCACAGAAAGTCGGCCACATAGTGAGGGGGTAGGAGAAAATTCCCAGCCAAATAATAGAGGCACCTCTGCTGCCCCCATGGTAGCCCCCACCACCCACAGAATCATCTCGTGGAGGCCTCGGAAAAGCCCCTGCTGGGCAGTGATCGGAGCATGTGGCTTTTCCAGCTCAAGAATGCAGCCCAAAGGCTCATGAGTGAACATCTGAAGCCGCCAGCATTGGTGTCTATGCCTCTGGGGGGCCGGAAGTCACTAGCCAGTCACAAAAAGACTCAACATGACATCTCAACAGTCCCTTCTCCAGCTTGCTCATTCATCCCCATCCGTAGCCACCATGACAGAATGAGAAAGAAGTGCTCTAGGCATCAGTATCACCTGTGCTGCTTGTTACACGTTAAGGTTCTAGGTGGGTAGTTTGTGGACTGTTCAAAGCATGGGATACTATATAGCAAAAGGAAAAAAAAGAAAGGAATGAACTCATACCACTGTGTGCAACAATGTGGATAATTCTCAGATGTGATGAGTGAAAGAGGCCAGACAAGGAGCATGCATACTATGTGATCCCATGCATATGAAATTCAGGAGCAGACAAAACCAGTTTATGATGATGGAAGTCAGACTAGGGCTTGTCTTTGGAGAGTGAGTAATGACTGGAGAGGGGCATCAGGAGCCTTCTGGGCAGCTGGAAATATGCTCTGTCTGATCTGGGTGGTGCTTATGGTGTCTGTATTTGGCAAAAATCCATCAAGCTGAACACCTAAGATTTGTGAGATGTGTATGTATCAGTACCTAGGTACATGTACTTACCATTCACATATGTGTACATTTCCACATATATCAAGCTGTACACCCAAGATTTGTGGAATGTGTTACCTCACTCTTAAACAGTAAGGCTCCCTTATCTGCCTCAATAATTATTCTGACCAGGAGATTATGAAAACTGTTCTAAGAGTACAGACTTCATACCCTGCCTGGAAAGCCAGAATACCCAGGGTGCTTTTCTGAATGCAGTGGCCTTCCCAGAGAGCTGGCTTCTGAGGTAGAGCCAGTTGTGGCCCATGCCATAGCCTCTCATGACCCTGAGCTTCCGATGGCTCTTTGCGTTGTGTTTGGTGATTCCAAATAGTCTTTTCAGTAATACTTTGGCCCATGTTAGTTATCTCTTTGGCTCCAAATAACTTAATGGTTTATTTTCCAGTCACCCAAGAGCAACTGTGTTCAGTCCTGGGAATATGTTAGTGGAGATTATGAATTTCCAAATGATAGTGATAAGAATAATGGCAGCTGACATTATTGAGTGCTTACTTTCTGTCCCTCACTGTTCTTAGTGTTTTTTATGTATCATCTTTAATCTTCACAATAGCCCTGTGAGGAAGGTACTGTTATTTCAGTTTTCAGACAAGGAGACCAGGGACCAGGGAGGGTAAGCAGTTTGCCCAAGGTCACCCAGCTAGGATGTGTCAGGGGCAGTATGGATCTAGGTCCACATTTGAGCCTGGTGCCTCTCGCACACGAGGGTTTCTTAACACAGAGTCAGAGAGTCCCGGGCCCACTCTGAGATCTGACTAGGGATCAGCGCGGGGGCCCAGGATTCAGCTTGTCCGATTAGCTCCTGGTGGTGCAGTACTGCTGGTCTTGGAGGACCAGGCTTGGAACCACTTCACATACTGCCTTGTGTCTACCTGTAGGTACAGATGTTGATTGTTCTCTGCCTTTACCCACTTGTGGGGAGGCAGCTGGGGTGATGCAGAGCTTACAGGCTGGCAGCCCAGAGGGCAGATAGTGGGTACAGCAGAGCCTATTTTGCAGGGTGGCTGGTGAGGACTTAGAGGAGAACGTGTCCAGCAGGGGCCCAATGCCAAGGTCATGAACTGGAGGCCCATGGGGCACAGCTGGTCTACAGACTGTTTTTGCAGGGCAGCACAGCTTTAAAAACTAGCCTATCTAGTGACCAGCACTGCAAAATCAGGAGATGCAGCATTAAAATCTGTTACCCAGCTTGCGTTGCGGAATTGGAAACCCCTTACCATGCTGAGCCTGCATTTCTGCAGGGGCCAGTTTTCAGTTGGCCCCAGTGCCTCCCAGTTTTCATCTTTGGCCCCATTAGTGATGATATTAATACAGGCTTTGATGTGGGACTTGGTTCAAATCCCATCTCTGTGACTATCTGTCTCTGATTCCTGGGGCAGAACTGAACTTTTTAAACTCACATGTAAAATGTAAAGAGACCTACTCTCCAGTATCACTGTGACAATTACAGTGTAAAGCACTCAGCCTAGTGCCAGGCATGCAGTAGGAGTTCAGCATTTAGTGGCTTTTATGAAATCATGTTGCCACATAGGGAGGAAAAAAACCGTATGCGTGAGGCCCTTTGGGGCATTCAGGGATGATGAGGTGACTTTTGATGGCAAAATGGGGCAGGCTTTTATGAAATATGGTGCTTTTTACCCTCATCTGTGGGTCGTTTCCGAAGTGCCCACACACCAGCTCTTCTGCCGCACTCCCAGTTCTGTGTTGAATTGTGCCGTCAATGAAAAACATGTTCAGGTGCTCTTTTCTGTTTGGTGTGGGAGGGAGGGGTAGTCTGGGCCCTTCTCTGGCATTGCTTTTGAACTTTCTAGTGATTATGCATAGTAAATGGTTTATTTTCTGATTAAAGGTTAAGCTGCTCCCTATTAGCTTGTTTAATCCCACCACCCCCCGCACTGGAAGCTTGACTGGTTTGGGTATATTCACATGATCATTGGCTTGTTACCTGATTTTCTCTGCTTGTCTTTCCTCCACCATGAATTAACCTGTTGTTTTTTTTTCTCCCTCTAGATTATTTGCTCTCTAATAACTATGTAAATTCTATCATTGTCCATAAGTTTGACTTCTCCGATGAAGAGATTATGGCATATTATATATCATTCCTGAAAACACTTTCATTAAAACTCAACAACCACACTGTCCATTTTTTTTACAATGAGGTAAGTAACTGCCTGATGGGTGCATTTGGATGCAAAGCCAGCTGGTCAGAGCAGCGCCTTCTGTCTGGGTGGCCTTCTATCTGTTTACAAAGCAGTTACGTGCTTATTCTTTCCTGATTTTCATAGCAACAGTGCCTGGCCTTGGCATGCTAAATTTTTTTTAAAATTTAATGTTACCTCTCTGTTTTTTGATGTAAAATTCAACTAGTGCGAGCTGAGAGCATTGTAGTTGGTAGCGAGAAGTGCTTGGAAGTTGACTTGGGAGTCATGTTGCCCTGTGGGAAAAATAGGAACTCCAGTGAGACCCAGTTTTGCCACTTCCTGCTGTGTGACCTTAGAGAAGTCCCAGTCCCCTGAGCCTCTGTTTCTTCTTCTGAGAAATGGGGATGATAACATATACCTTGGAGGTTTTTTTCCAGGGATTAAATTAAGTGAGATGATGCCCTCAAAGCACCTAGTACACACCTGGCTCCCTAAAGTCATAGCTATTGCTATTCTTTACAAGCTAACATCCCTGGTAATCCTTGGGAACATTACTAGAAATTTAAAGAAATAAATTGTTGTTCTCACAATTAAAGAAGTAGCTAGAACAGACCCTGGCTGGTGTGGCTCAGTTGGTTGGAGCATCGTCCCATAAACTGAAAGGTTGTAGCAGGTTCAGTTCCTGGTCAGGACACATGCCAAGGTTGTAGGTTCAGCCCCTGGTCAGGGAGCTTACAAGAGACAGCCAAAGATATGTCTCTCTCACAGCAGTGTTTTTCTCTTTCTCTCCTTCCTTTTCCTTCTCTCTAAAGTCAATAAGCATGTCCACAGGTACAGATTACAAATAAAAAATGTAGCTTGAACAATAGGTCAATCTGTCTCGTACCAAAAGGTACAGATGCCGACTGTCCTGTGGCTAGTTCATCCTGTGGCTCAACCACTTCATCAGGGACCCAGGCTTTTCCATCTTCCTGCTCTGCTGACTGTACAGTAGGCATCTTTCCATAGGCTCGACCCCTCATGGTCTCAGAATGGCTGCAGCAGCTCCAAACATCACATGCTCACATGGCACTGCCAAAAAGCCTGATGAGATCACTTCCCTTTCTGGTCTCTTACTTCCAGAAAACTTCTTTCCCAGAAGCCTTCCAGCAGACTTCCTCTCATGTCTCCCTAGTCAGAATGTGTCACATTTATCATACAGTGTGTCTAGCATTTGGGGGTGGCCTGGCAGGACATTTCTGGCTTGGTATTTTGTGGTGCTGCAGTCATCTGAAGGCTGGATTGGGATTGGAGGATCTGCTTCCAAGGTGGCTTGCTGGCCAGTCAATTCTGGCCATTGCCGGGAGGATTTGTTACTAGGTTTCTCCAGGGATTGTTTGAAGGCCCTCAGGGCACGTTGGCTGGCTTCCTCCAGAACGAATGATCCAGGAGACCCAGACAAGCTGTATTACCTTTTATGACCCAGCCTCAAGGAAGCCACACACCATCACTTTTACCGTATTCTTTAGTCCGCAGAGGACCAGCCCTACTTTACTGTAGGAGAAGACAACACAAGTATGTGAATACAGGTTAGAATTGCTGGGCCATCTTGGAGGCCAGCTATCACACAGCCATGTGCTGTTTGCCTGGCAGGTAGCTTCTGATTGATGGTTACATAATGCGGTGCAGCCTGTATTTGAAGTCGGACCGTAGTCCCAAACATATCCTCTGAGTTTGGGCAGAATCCATCTAGCTGTTCCCATATGATATGGAAACAGTGGCCTGAACCTTGATTTCCTTTGTCTAGATTAGTAATGGGGAAGAGCTGGCCTCAGGGAACAATTACTAGCTTCCAATCATAAAAACTGTGTGGCAATTTGAAAAATATTGTGTGGCCCAGTACCTGGTACATTGTAGGTGCTCAATAAACATATTCAGCAACCAGGTAGATGACCTAGCATTCTGAGGGGCTCTCCCAGGTGGAGGAAAACCCACCTGCGAAGTTCAGATCGGAGAGAGGAACAGACTCTCCCTTTTTCACTCATATGCAGCTGGGCTTCTGTGCACCCAGCTAGGAGGGTAGGACGCTGGGATTCTGGGGCCAGAGTGATGGTTCTGGAAGAAGATCCTCCTGGTCACCAGAGGAGTGGTAGGAGAACCGTTTTTGAGGTGGGCTTGGTTTCCTCTTTTATGTGGGCCAGTAGGGTAGCTACCAGTGGTTGTCAAGTGAACACTTGATTTCTAGCGCTCAAAATCATGTGTGAGCTTGCTTTTTTTTTTTTTTTTTTTAAATTAGACAGTTGTCACCTCGCTGGAAGTGGCATCTTCCCCACTCCCTCACTGCGTGTGAGTGCTCTCTAGTTGGCTCTGGAGCCATGTGGACAAACCGGCCAGAAGAGGGCAGCCAAGTATGCCACCAGAAGTTCTGTTCCAGGCTCAGGTCTGGTGCTTTTCAGGCTCCAACAGTGGAGTTCTGTGGTTCTGAACTGTTTTGGTCTGTTCTGATGATTCCTTTTTAATGTCAGAAGATTTCTAAGACCTTCCTCTGCCATTATAATGTTTATACTTTCCATTTTTCCACATAGAGGAATATACAGGGTGGGGAAAAGGTAGGTTTACAGTTGTATGTGAAATAGTTTATTTTTGTACTACTATTTATCAATCATTGCATTATTTTCCATACAAACAACCATAAGCCTACTTTTGTCTCACCCTGTGTAATACCTAGGAGAGATTCTGAATGTAGTAAAACTTGACACTTGCCCCTTTTCTCCTTTCTTTCTTTCTTTTTTTCCTTTCTTTTTTATTTTTTTAGCAGTATCTAATAATAACTGGCATTACTACTGAGTGCTTATTACGTGTCAGGTTGCTGGGGTTAGCATTGTGTTGGAAATACCCCATTTAATCCTATCAGTTATCAAGTGGTAATTATTTATCCCTATTTTCTAGATGAAGAAACAGAGGCTTAGAAATATTATGTCACACAGCTACAAAGTGGCAGAACAGATCATGAGCCCGGGTCTGAACCCTTTTCTAGTTCTTCCATGGTCTCCCCTCCCCGTCCCTTCCCACGTTCCCCATGGGGAGTGAACCACTGACATTTTAACATCCATGTTGGTAACTTTTTTTTTGTTTTTTACTGAAGTCTCTGATAGGATACAGAAAGCTGAGGTTGGGGACATGCCTGTCTTACCCATTTGTAACTCCTTCTTGGTACTTCTTTTGTTTTAGCACACTAATGACTTTGCCCTGTACACAGAAGCCATCAAATTTTTTAATCACCCTGAAAGCATGGTTAGAATTGCTGTAAGAACCATCACTTTGAACGTCTACAAAGGTAAGTTTTCCTTATGATTTCTACCTTGGCAGCTAGTGCTTGTTCTCTGGAGTCTATAATCCAATTCTCTGGTGATAATTTATTTTAGCTGTGGTTGCTTGTCTCACAAAAGGTTTGTAGTCACTGAACACTTTGCTGACCCCTTACAGAAATTTTTGTACCACTGTCTTTTCCCTGCTCACTTGGTTCTGCATGTTAAAGTCTTAGTGCTGACACAGAAGTAGTAGTGTCCTAAGAGAGGCCCATGTGGGACTTGGAGCAGCCACATGATAATTAAAGTAGAGTTGTCTTTTAAATGTTAGATTTAAATTTTTGTGTTTTGGCCTATAAAATACACTTCCCGGGGGGTGTGTTATCTTTAAATAATGTGTAAGAGCATTTCACATCACAAACAGTAGGGGGCAATATTGTATTCTCAACCTGCTGCAAAGCTGCCTTTCTTTCAAGATGTACTTAATGCTCAAATCATTGCCTCCAGGAGAAAGCCTTCCAGGGCTCCCTGCCCACACCAGCACAAAGGCTGGCTGCATGCAAGTTCCCTGACCTGGAATTGCCCTTCAAGGCGATGCCTTCTTTGCCTAAAGCTGGGGTTATTTTTCCCTGTAATCAACACACTGGAGCTGGGACTATTTTCTCAGGCACCAAAGGTCTTTGACCTTCACAAATTAGGATGTTATTACTTGAGACAACCCCTAATTGGGTGGAGGCAGGAGTGTCTCAGGGACTCACTGCAGCCTAGTTCTGGGACTGTGTTAAATCGAAGAGCCTTTTAAAGAGCTCAGTGGGACTTACCCAGAGGTTGTGATCTGAGGGATTGACAGCAAAGTCAGCCCTCAGACAGATTTTCATTGGCTTAGGTATTTTTTTGAAAAAAGACATAGTTGCCAGTATTTAAAAATTAGAAGATCGTGGGTAAAAATCTAGATTTCTGACTTGAAAATGTAGATTTGGCTCTTCTGGGCCCACAGTCCTGCAGGGTGGTGGTGAGCCGGTGCTGAGAAGCAATTGCCCCTGTGGGGTGTGCTCCCCAGGTCACAGGCCAGGCCTGCTGGCTTCACTCACCGAGTCTTCGGCCAGCCCAGCAGGCTTCTGAGTTTGAGACCTGGTCCAGGCTGCGCTTCTGCTGCCTCCTGTTACCTGTTTTCTCTTGTTCTCTTCTAACCTGTGTCTTTCCGTTTAGATGCCTCCTGCCCTAGCTTTCTCCCTCTGAGCAGCTGTCTCACCATCCCAGTTCCTAACCCTGTTAACCGTTGTCTGTTTTTTGCCTTTCCTTCAATGACGAGTTCCGTGTTCCTTATTCCAGTGTCATGTAAGTTATTAACCTCTGGTTTTTCACTTTCTTAACTTATCATTACATGTAAACACAGGAAACTTGCTTGAGAATGATATAGCTTTCATTGTAGTCTAGCTTAACACACCGCTGATAAGTAGGCTTTCTAATGCACTGTTAATGTTTAGCCCAGTTAATTAATTTTATTAATCATAAAAATTGCATAAGAACTGCCTTGACAAAGATAGTTTTATGAATAAGATAACCATTTTCAGATATTTTCAGGAAAGACAAGAGATTCAGATCATAATGGTGGGCTTTTTCATTATTTGTTGCTGCTGCTGTTGTTTTTAAATCTCCCCCAAGTCACTTTTGGTAGCTTGACTCTTTTTTTTTTCTTCTTCTTCTTTTATGAATTTTCTCAGTGGATAACCAGGCCATGCTACACTATATCAGAGATAAAACTGCTGTCCCTTACTTCTCCAATTTGGTCTGGTTCATTGGGAGCCACGTGATCGAACTTGATAACTGTGTGCAGACTGATGAGGAGTAAGTAATCAGCTTCTTATGCAGCTTGTGGGGTGCTTGTGAGATAGACAGAGTGGTCAGGGGAGAGTTTCTTTTTCATCGAGGAAGAATAAACATTAGCACAAAACTTTACTTGCTTATGTGTCAGCAGAATATGGACTTCCGTACTCTAAAAGGTCCCACCCATCACTCTACTTTTTATAATAGTGGAAAATTGGAAACATCTCACATACCTCCCAGAGGGGATTAGGGTTAGTGAATTCATTACCCCGATAGATGGGGCGCTAGGCAGCTGGTAAAAACATTAAAATGATCCATCAGCTGGTAAATGGATAAACAAAGGGTGGCATTTGGATTTGATAAAATCGTATTCGGCAATAAAAAGGAATGAAGTACTGATACCTGCTATGGCATGGGTGAACTTGGAAAGCATTATGCTCAGTGGAAGAAGCCAGTCACAAAGGACCACATATTGTATGATTGCATTTATATGAAATGTCCAGAATAGGCAAATCCATAGAAACAGAGAGTAAATTCGTGGTTTTCCTGGACTGGAAGGGGGAGATTTATCAGGGAAATGGAAAGTGACTGACTATGAGTATAGGTCTTTTTTGAGGGGAGAGAAGTAAAAAAGTTCTAAAATTGTGATGAAGGTTGGATAACTCTACAAATATACTAAAACCCATTACATTTTGTAATTTAAATGGGTGAATTTTATGGTATGTGAATTATATCTCAGTGTATCAATTTAAAAAAAAAAAAAGGTTAAGATGGTAATTTGGGCCCTACAGTGATGAATGGAAATTTCAGAGGATTTCTCAAATTCAGCACTGTTGGTCTTTTGAACTAGCTACTTCTCTGTGCGGGGGTGGGGGCTGTCTTGCACATTGTAGGGTATATTTAGCAGCATCATGGCCTCTACCCATTAGATGCCAGGAGCACCCCTTTTCCAGCTGTGAAAACCAAACATGTCTCCAGACATTGCCAAATGTCTCCGTTAAAATTGCTGTCAGTTGAGAACCAATGTGCCAGAGCGGCAGCATTGCACAGACCTGGTGAGAGGCACACCAAGAAGGGGTCAGGACAAGAAAGGGGACCTGGAAGGGGGTGTCCTAGGGGGAGAGGGGCTAGAAAGAGAGAATATTCAGTCTCATATTGAGAAAGAAGCAGGGCTAGGTGGATGGCAGATCTGATGGAGCATTTGGGAACGTACCGGCCCGTATGGATAGGAACAGGTGTAGATGTGAAACATAAGGAGTCACTTAACTTCCCAAAGAAAAAGTTATAATGGAAAGGAAATGAACCCCTAGCCCTCTGTTAGACTCTGCAGTGAACAGTTACAATAATATCAACACCAATTGCCAATGACTGTTGGGGGGAAAGAGCAGAGGGAACACAGAGTTCTGTCATAACATCATGCATAATGGTTTAGTCACAAAGTAGAAGTTCTCACAGATTTTATAGAAATACGGGAGGAACTATCCACAGAAACTGAAAGAGTTAAATACTGCCTTCTCTGGAGAGTGGGTAGGAGTGGGGGAGGCTGGGCCAGGAGCTGCTCCTTTTAATTATCAGCTTATCAGCACTATTTGATTTTTAAACCCACCTGCATATATTACTTTGATACGATTTTTTTAAGTAAAGGTTTAAAAAGTAAAGTGCATTATATATCCTGCTAAAGAAAAATTTCCACGGTATTTTCAGTGTGGCAAAAGCTTGTGAAACACTGTGCGTAAGTGTTCTGTGTCTCAAGTGGGCAATGGGTTTCTGGTTCTCATTATATTATTGGGCTTTACAACATGTATTTACCATAGATACTTACTAAATATCTTATTAAAGTATAATAAGGAATAATTATCCAAAATTATGTAAAAGAAGCAAAATTGATCTTAATTTTACTTATTTTTTAAAACTAGAGATGGTTAGATGTATAACACCTGCATTTTAGATATGACTATAGGGAGACAGCACTGTGGGAAAACAGACTGTAGGGTCACAGGTCCCAAAATATCATCTGTTAGTGGTGGGTGTATAGGAGACTTTGATTTTCCTTTTTCTTTTTTCTTTTTCTTTTATTTTCTTTTTTAATTTTCTGTCTTCTAACATGGCCATCTATTAGTTGAATACTACAATCAAAATGTCTTACCCTATCTAGATTGCTCTTTGCAACAGATACTGCTTCGGGGGCGGGGTGAGGAAAGTGTGCCCACCAGTGGTTTTAGGGGCTCTGCCATCCTTGGCGAGGTTGAGACTGTGGGGCCCAACCAGCATGTCTGTTGTTTCACTGCAAGGAGACAGAGACCTTCTGGGGCCTGGGGTGGGATGTTATGTCCTTGCACTCTGCCCCACATATGGTCAGGGCCAGTGGGTCCCACGCTGCTGCTGAGACATGCTTTTTCTCTTCAGAATGCCTCCGGAGCATTTTAATTAGCAAAGATTTATTGCTCCATTAATACTGCTTATCTTGGAAGCCAGGGGATCTTGCCACATTGGCTAGGCTACTCTTGTGAAATGGCTTGCTAAGAGCTTAGCTGGTTTTTGCTTTCTTTACCCATCTTGTTTTGTGATTGTGTTGGTGGTGGAGGGTAACTTATACTGAGGACCCCCAGAAGATGTGGGGATCCTGGGAGTCCCCTAAAATCATTCGATTAGAGTAGACCTGCCTGTTTTTCCTTTGTGCCTCCCACTAGTAGGACCAGGATAGGTGTCTCATGAAACAAATTCAGTATTTGTTGTACAAGCAAATGCACCCCAGTGACCTAAGTCTCTGGCCATTGATTCTAGACCCAAGGGCTTTGAGCTTCTGATTCTAGGCTAAGGTGGTAATTTTTTATCGGCAGGCACAGGAATCGGGGAAAACTGAGTGACCTGGTGGCTGAGCACCTGGACCACCTGCACTATCTCAATGACATCCTGATCATCAACTGTGAGTTCCTCAATGACGTGCTCACAGACCACCTGCTCAACAGACTCTTCCTGCCCCTCTATGTGTATTCACTGGAGAACCAGGACAAGGTGGGTATGGAGACCTGGGCCTATAGTTCCTGCAGGTTGAAGGTCATCTTCAGAAGGGAAAAGAACAGTCACCTCAAATAGGGCTGAGCTTTGCAAGGGGCCAAGGCTTTGAGCCAGCGAGAGATTCTTTCCAAAGCCCGCTGGTTGTCTTTTCTTATCCCTTTATTTCCTGAGAGTAGTTGGGAGGGGGGGCTCTGTGTGTGTGTGTGTGTGTGTGTGTGTGTGTGTGTGTGTGTGTGTGTAGGGGGTTGTTAGACTGTAAAAAAACTGTAAAAGTGAATGAGAAAAGAATACTGACATCAGAATGAAACAGGAAACCTCTACGAATTTAAGTTTTTGGCTTCTGTGCATCCTTCTCTTGAGGTGTTTTCATCCTTGGTAACTTTTTCTGGAAGTTGTCAAGGCTAATTGATTTGGAGAAGATCCAGTCAGCCACAAAACTTGCACAAAAGCACAGAATGGACAGGAAGGGATGGAGCGCACTTATGAAAAGTTCCCTGGGCAATGACTATCCCCAGTTAGCAGGCTCACACCCCCTCGTGGGGAGACCACCTGTTAAAAGTGCACATCCTTAGGTGCTTTCCCCCCTCTCAGAGGTGGTGCTGGTCCAGTGGGTCTGGGGTGGACCAGAAATCTCCATATGTAACCTGCCCTCCTCCCTTCCCAGGGGATTCTGAGCTGGTGGTTCTGTGCTTTCCCCATGAGAAGTTTGGCTTGAGGGGGTAGAAACCTTCTGTCTAGTCCCTCCCAGAGTAGAGGGGCAGAGGACTCAGCAGGAGGTGGGACAGAGCCAGCTAGTTACCTGCAGGGGCTTCAGCCTCTGCTGATGTGTCTCACAGGGGTGTAGCTTTCTTTGTGGAGATGGAAGGTGGAGGTTATTACTAAAAATAAGTAAACGGAAGAAAATGATAGCCCTAGCTAAATCTAGCAGAGGCAGCTCTAGGAGGAAGACAGGAAGCATGCAAGTGGCTTTTTCAGACCTGGGTTCGAATTCTGTCTCTTCTCTTTCTTTACTCTGTGATCTCGGACAAGGCAGTTAACCTCCCTGAGCAAAAGAAGGCTCTTCCCAGGGTTGGTGTGAGCTGGAGCTCGCTGAAGCTCACTACAAATGAGGGGCTTTTATGAGGCTGCAGTGCCCCAGTCTCTCCCTGCCCCATTTTGAAAGCTCTTCCTGAGAACAGGCCTCTGGGGGGCCTTCTTGGCAGGCCAGGCCTTGGATTCTCCATGCCCCAGCTGAGGGAAATTAACCTTCTTGGTAATTTAAGGAGCCAGTTCTTCTTTTGGGTCCAGCCTCTGATCCATGACTAATGGTGGAAGATTTCTCAGGTGGAAAAATCATGGTCTTGCAAATGGTATTGAATGGGATTAGGTTCCGAATTTCTTTTGCAGAGCGGACTTTGTCTAGCACCAGGCCAGAATAGCTCAGGGTCCTGGGGGAACTCGGGGACAGGATGCCTGTCCTCTGGACAGATGGCTTTTGGCTGCATGTATTTTGTGCCACTCAGTTGTATGATCTGGACTTCTCTCTCTCTCTCTCCCCTCAACCTTCACTAGGGAGGAGAACGGCCAAAAATCAGCCTGCCAGTTTCACTCTATCTGCTGTCCCAGGTATGTGTGATCGATCATATGCCCACATCCCCACCACATTCACATTTAGGGGGCCTTGGAGTGCTGCTGCCGCTCAGAAATTTCCCAGGTCACATTGCCCTGTCTTCTTTCTCAGTGTCCTCCATCTTGAAAATCTTGAAATAAAATAAAAGGAAAAGGGGTTCTGTTTTCTAGACACTGAGTAGAGGTGCCAATGTCTTCGGTATGGTAGTGGATGAAAATTTAACCAGAAATGAAAAATAAATCTAACCTGGCACTGAGGTAGTTGAGTTTTACCATGGGGACTGAGGTTTCCAAAACAACCAAGGAGTGTTCTAAATGCCCTGGAAATGTGGACTGTCTGGGTCTTATTCATGGCATTTTGAATTTTAGCCCCAAACTGCAGGACTCCTTGTGTGTATACATGCGGTGACCCTGGTTTAACAAATTTCACTAATGAGGCAGTTTTTAAAGGCTTTTGTCATGGTTCTAGTTCCCAGATTACCTTCTGGAAGGTGTCTTGTAGCAGCCTCAGTTCCCAGATTTGCATCTTGAGCCAATTTGTCTGCCTCCCCCTCTTAAGTGTGTTTCTTTCTCATAATTATGTAATATTTACAAGAAGGGAAAAACTCCATGGTGACCCAGTTACATAACTTGAAAAATATTTTTATTACAAGCAGGCCAGACTTTCAGGCCATCTCATTAGACTGTCAAGTAGTCAAACGTTTGACCAGAGCTCTGTTCTCACTTCTGCAAATGGCACAGGTATTTATTTGCTTTGCTGAGAGAATGTCCTTCTAACTTGGTCCCTGGGCCATTTTCAGTTTAAGGTGGGGCTGTCTCCCATTGGCCTGAAGAGAGATACAGACCCGGCCTCCTCCCAGCAACTCAGCTGATCGGGATCCACAGTGGCCTGCTCACTGTTCACTCCTGGAGTCTGATTCTAGGGCCTCTGTTTGCTTGGAGGTCTGCACTGGTGCTGACTCCTTCTGAATGCCTCTCTGTGTGACGAGCTCAGTGCAAACCCCAGCCTCTCCTGGCAGCTTGTTCCACCGCCTCATTACAAATCCACCAGCATCTCCCACTTGGGATTCTGGGAGTCTGGTGGGACCCAAGCAGGCCAAATGCTCAGCCACAGGAATCTCATGGAACACACCCTCAGGACCCTTCAGCTGTTGAAGCATTGCACAGGCAGGGTCTCCTCTGAGAAGTAAGGGGTCAGACCACACCTTTACTATGAGAGCCCCTTTCCTTCTGTATCTTAGTGAAGGACCAGCAGCTCAGACACCTAATTACTTGTTTCAGTATTTCACAAAAAGTATAGCTTGTAATTTGGTACACCTCAACCTGAGTAGCAGAGCCCTTCCTCCCCTGCGTTTTCATTTCGCTTTATTATAATGTTGCCTAAGTGTGTGAAGACCTCGAAACAGGTATAAATCCCATGTCCTTAAGCCCTATGTCGAAGCATCCTTACCAATTATTTTACAGGGACAGCCACGAAACCAAGAAAATTCACATTAACGACATTAATTTAGTATGACGGGATTTTGTCCTGCTGAATCTAAATTGCCACTTGTAACAAGAGTGGGGCGCAGAGAAGCTGGCTCAGCTTTTTGAGTCTGGCCTGCAGACACTTCCACATACCATGCAGTGACTGGCTCTCCCCTAACTTTTCTCCATCCAGAGCCCAGGAAGGAATGAGCCCTGTGTGCATCCATAGGTGGGAATTGGTTGGTCTTAACAGGTGCTCACTGAATGTGGACTAAAAGAATACTAAATGGTCATTAAGGTCACATTCACACAGGTGCGCAGTAGGTATTTGTGGAATGAACTCGGTGATTGGGTTTTTTTGTTTTGTTTTTTGCGATTAAGTGTGGCAATAATTTGGCCACGGTGAAGGTGAGAAAACTTATTTTCCCTCATCACCATAATTGCCAACAGTTCAATGCCTGCCACAGCCCTAGACATTGATGAATTCATGTGATTATACTAGATAGTCTTTCTGATAGAAAAATGTCTTCCCAGTGTTTTAAAAACAGATGTGCCTTCTGTTTGTCTGTTTGCTTTTAGGTAGGTACTGCGTTTTGGCTACTTTGCCTGTACCTTAAATTTGAATTACATTTATTTTTTTGAACAATATGTTCACCCTATTCAAACAATACAAAAGGACATGTCTCCCATTGGCCTGCAGAGAGATGCAGACCCGGCCTCCTCCCAGCAACTCAGCTGATCGGGATCCCTCTGACCCCTCACCCTCCAGGCACCCAGTCCCACCGCCCAGAGGCAGCCTGTTTCTGTTTCTGCGTTTACTTTTTTTTTTAACAATATTTATTTTTTTTTTAAAAATTTTAAGTTAAAAATTTCAAACTGGTAAAAACCAAGTTTTCTTTCTATTTTCGTCAGCCCCCTGATTTTTATTCCCAGAGACAACTGTAGTTACAGGGTTTTCCTCTGTCCTTCCAGAAATGTTTTCCTACTAGGGGTTTTCAACTGGGGATGATTTTTGAACCCCTCAGGGGGATGTTTGGTAACATCTGGAAACATTCTTGGTTGTCATAATTAGGGTGGGGGATGCTACTAGCATCTAGTGGGTGGAGACCAGAGATGCCGCCAAGTATCCTACAGTGCACAGGACAGCCCCCACAGCAAAGGATTGTGGCCTGACAGTAGTGCCAAGGTTTAGAAACCGTGTTCCATATATATGTAAACGAATGCAAATGTGTGCACACACCCTTTTTATAGACAAATAATAGATAACCCCACACTGTACTACACCAGTTTTGCCTTTACATTTTAAAGCAAAGTAGCAGGTGTGTCTGAACCAGCTTTGTGAGCCAGTTTTGAATACTCTGATTCCTAAAGCCATTCCTCTGAATATTGGGCCACAGGGTAAGGTAGTGGGGCCATCCCAGGGGGCCCAGGGCCTTCTGATTTTGCATCCTGGCACAACTAGGTCTGTGTCTGGCTTGTGTGGCTTTTCTTCCCCATAGTTTCCACACCTACCCACACTGCCATGGGATTCTGACGTGCCGAAGCCCACTGCAGGGGTCAGTGCTCGTTCCAGTGATGGACCTCTGTGGAGCTGACCCTTGGCTGGGTCCCTGATTGGAACAAGACTAATGAGCCCCTTCTTTCTGTATATCTGAAGTACTGAGCTTGTACCTTCTAATCTTTATCATTGAATTTAATACTGAAATGCCTGCGGAGAGGAAGGAGTGTGCTAGTTTGGCTGTTCCTTTACCAAGTTGCTTCACTTCAGCTGGATTTGGCCTCACCCAGCCATGAGGGACAGCCTTGCTTTTAATGCATTTCCTTCCGCTCAAGAGCAGCCAGCCAAATAGGCAACAGTGTGAATGAAAGGGCGGCGGCGGGGGTGCCTAGGAGGAGAAATGTGTAACTGATTTCTCCTGAATGTGACCCATTCTTTGGTTTTTGTATCACAGGAGTTGCTGCTTATCATGGGACTTGTGTAACCCAGTAGTGCTGCAGATCAAGGAAGGAATGCAAATGCAATTTGCACGCTTAAATGCAAATCCACTTCTTCTTTCTCATCAGGTCTTCCTCATTATACATCATGCACCCCTGGTGAACTCGTTAGCCGAAGTCATTCTCAATGGTGATCTCTCTGAGATGTACGCTAAGACTGAACAGGATGTTCAGAGAAGTTGTGTAAGTAATTAGTGTTGGAACTGTTTCTAGACCTTGATAAGAAGCCATGGCTCATTTTGTTAACCTACGTTTCTCTAAAACCAGAAACCAACATTCTGCTTATAGCATCAGTGATGTATAAGTTCGTCTGGGATTCAGGGAACCTAATTGGAGTCTTGAAATGGGTACCCAGGAATATCTGAGGGTCTGTACTAAGAATAGATTCATTGATTGTATGTTATTGAATGTGGAGTAGTACTGCTCTGGGCCTCAGGTTGTATATCTGTGAGGTACTGTTATGGGGACAGAATGAGAGAATACGTTGTCTAAGGCACAAATAGCAATAGAGGCTGAACGTGAAACATCTATGAAGACATAGGCCACACGTGGGGGCAGTAGGAGTAGTAAGGACTGAGGCAAATTGGAGAGTGTATACATCCTTTGTGAGCAGCTGCTGTTCCACCCCAGCCTGCAGTCATTCTGCAGGAATGTGGATGCAGTATTTCTAGGCTTTCTCGTGTTTCCAGAAAAGCTGGAAATCTGCATTTTGATGCAAAATGTCACAAGTTTTAAATAATCACTCATCTGTGGCCTAAACAGACCATTTTGTGGTCTGTGCATGTTTGTGCATTTTGTGCTCAGCTAGAGAAAACCACCGGATGACCAGTGTAATGACTCCTCCTGAGGCTTTCCCAGCTTGGCTTCTGTGTATCTTGCCTGCCTTCACTGCCCTCTTCCTGCTTATATATGCCAGGCTCCAGGCTACCTTAGTACTGGTCCAGCTTGCTTTTTTCCCAGTGTGCCCATGCTTCTGCCTTTGTACCTGTGCTCTTACCAAACCCCAAGTCTGGAAGGCCCTTGTTGCTGGTTCCCTCTTATCAATGATCTTCCCAGCTTAAGCAGCTTATGGTAGGCGTTTTGTTTGTCATTGTGTTGGCTGCTGCATGGGCTCAGCGAACGTGTCTGAGATGAGCCTGGTATGTGGGCACACAGGTAAAAGGCTGGCCTTGCCCTCAGGCAGTCAGCTCTGTTGCCATATCTGAAGGAGTGGATGGAGGGTTATCCTGTAGTATGAAAGGCCAGGACTGTATGGGGTAACATTACAAGAGTCCCCTGTCCTTCTGGTTTTTCTGGTGTTCGGCTGCTTAGCCAGGCCATTTTGGTCTTTAAGGGAGCATTCTAGCCTCTGAAAAGGTGTCCAGAAACTTTCTGTCCTTGGTGGTGGTGGCATTAGTTCAGCTGAATTGAATGGGCCTTTTCATGGCCCCTGTCTGGCCCATCCTCTCTTTGATTCATTCATTCAGTGTTTCTTAAGCCCTTTCTTTGGATCCGGCATCATGCTAGTTCTGGGGATATACAAAATTCTAAATAGTCTCTGTCTCATTGGAGCTTACAGTCCAGTAGGAAAGACAAATGTTTATCAGCTATACAAATGAATGTACTATCTTGAGTCATTTAAGTGCTATAAAGAGAAGGTATAGTGTTTGGTGAGGGGATTTAACCTAGAGATGACAGGGGTGACCAGTGTTGATCAGGAAACACTCCCCTTATGGCCCATGTCATGACGTCTCATGGTCTAGAAAACATGGAGCTGATTTGGTGTTTATGGGGCTGGAGATACTTTTCTGCAGCTTTTTTAAACTCACTTTCGCAGAATGAATGCAAGTAATGTCATGCTGAGTCAGCAGAGTCAGCTTCCCAATCAGAGCTGCTGAGGACCACGCCAGACTGTAGGTTACCTTGGGCAAGTTGTTTTACCCCGTATAGAACACAGGGAGAGCAAGCCCTGCTCCAAGGAGCTCTTGGTGAGGATGGGAAGAACATACACCTACAGTGCCATCAAGTGCCTCACAGGTTGCAGCCCAGTCCTCAGAGCTGTTTGGTTTAGTGTTTACAGTGGGTAAAAGAAAATTTTATGAATTGACAGCTTTAAAATTTAAGAAGTTTCACGTGAAAGTTGATTTCAGGATTGTCTTGAGCAGTCAGAAGATCTGACCCCATGGTGCACATGTTTCTGTAGGAAGCTTGTCAGAAGCTGTTACCCCATCACGTGAGGCATGTGTTTGCCATTGAATTGGCCCAACCCTCACCTGGCCTGCTGCTGAGTCATACTACATTTACATTACTAACAAGTTAGAATGTAGAGGGTCCCTTTGGACTTTCTTTTATCTCATGATTTCCAGATCCTAATATAGCTAGCTGCTAAGGCTCCATCACAGAATGTCTTCCTATATGACACTTACTTGCTGAGGTTTTCCAAGATGAACCCAGACATCTATGGGGCACTGGGGTTTGCAGGGGTTTTTTTAGTTTTAAGTGATTTTCATGCCTTTGTAATAAATAAAACCCTTTCCCTAGTTTTCTCCCATTGGTAACATCTTGCAAAACTCTAGTCAAGTACCACAAGCAGAATATTGGCATTGATATATGGGGTTTACAATTTAAGCAAAAACAAATTGCAGAAAGTTACTGATGACTTCTCAGCTTAGATACCCACTTTAGTCAAACTCTCCAGTCAGAGGAGCTTTTAGACCTGTTCTTTCTCCTGATGGCCGCCACTTGGGATGAAGGTCGTTCCTCCAGTAGATGCACAACTGCTTATTGTGATGGATGCCAGAACTGAAAATGAGATGTTTTTTGAGGGTGGAAGGAATTGCCAGCCAAGTGAAAGTGTCACCTTTCTACTTCCGGTTTTTACCTTTCCCTGGGTGTGAAATCAAAGTTTGTTGTATTCTGATGACTGCAGTTGAAATTTGGGAAGAGTGAAGGGCAATCTCATTTATGACTTGTTTGACAATAGTCCTAGTAAGATTTACCTTCCTTCCCTCTGAGCAAGAACAGTCTCCTATTGTTTCCTGCCTAACTCGGATGTGGTTTGGTCATACTTGTTTTAAGTTTCTTGGTCTTTTTTAACCTACTTTCTCCTTCCCGTAATTTGTAGATAAGTTACTGGTATTGCTTCATTTTTACCAGCAGACCTTTCACAAAACCAAACCAAAATTGAAGAGAGAGAAGCAGAGGGAAGAGCAGAGTTATTTGAAAAGTCTGTAATTTAGGGTTAAATTTAAAATACATCAGCATGGTTAGATAAATGTCTAATTGAAATTCATCTGTGCATTAAAATAATATGGTTCCTGCTAAGGGATAATTTCTTGCTATAATTCTAATGCAGAGCAGATAGTGTGTTTCTTGTCAGGGAAAGAGAGTAAGAGAACACTAATTCTGAAACTGCTAACATCTCATTATTTTTGCAAAATGAACATATAGATTAGATTATGGGATATGCCTCATGACCTATAGGTACTTTTTTTTTTTTAAGTAGGGACTTTTTTCATCCTGGGTTTCTGTGGATAGCTTCCTTAGTTTTTGCATTCATTCATTCATTCATTCATTCCTCATCACAGGTACAGCGGTGCACAGAAAAGACATGATCCCTGTCCTCACTGGGCTTCCTGGCCCCTGAGGGATGTCTTGGAGATGCCTTCATCGCTTGCCAGAGATGCTTAGTGGGCACTCACTGCAGGAATGAATGACTCAATGGATGAACTGGTGGTGGGGTCACAAGGGCCCTCATGATATTCTTAATGACTCTCAGAAATAGGCTTACAGGCAGGCTTTTGGTGAAGGAGTGTAAGAGCAGAGTGGGTTGCTGGTGGTGGTGGTCCACGTTCCACCTTAAGAGGCAGTCTGGCGGAGCGCAGTGTGGAGCCAGGCTGCCTGGGCTCCTCGAATCCCAGTTCCTCATCTTACTAGGTGTGCCCCAGGATAAGTTAGTCTACCTCTTTCAGCCTCAGTTCCCTCACCTCTCCAATTACAGTAACAACCATACAGAGCTCCAGTGGTGCAACTGGTTAGCGCACAGTGTGTATAGAGTAACAGACATGGATTTTTGGAGGGGGTTAAATGCAGCATAAGGTGCAAGAATATTAGATGTTATCATTATCATGATTTTAGTTTCTGAACCTGCAGTACAACCCTGTGTCCCCTACTTGGGACATTTTTTCCTGGTATGATTAACACAGAGGCACATTCAGTACACCCTTAAGGAGGTGCCTTTATGACAAGACACAAAGGCATGGAAGACAAAGTGTTAGCAACAATGATGTGACGGTGGCAGCACTAGTAGTAAACATGGCCATTTCGTGGCAGTGGCCTGAGCCCTCTGTGTGCATTCTGGGCCCTCCAATTCGGTGGCTCCAAATACGTCCCTGGAAAGTGCAAATACTTAACCAGTTCGTGTGACTTGGCTGGCTGTGAATTCAGAATGGGGAGGCAGAATAGGCTTGTTTGTCCCAAAATGAGGATGCTGACTCTCTCTCTATAGGCATCATTTCAGTCCGTTGTAATGGTTTCCAGGTGATTATCTGGGGATCCTAAAAATTGAATGTATACCTAGGATGTTAGCTGTCAGTTTTCTGTGTGATGCCTGTCCTTCCTGGGAACTGGGCCTTCTGCTAGCAGAACACTCTGCCGGGACATGGCTGGTGGAGCGAGCAGCTAAGAAAGTAGCAGCCTGGCTTCCCTGGCCTGTGTGTTTGCAGAAGCAGCATCATGGACTTGGGGGCCCCTGGGTGCTGCTTCAGGGCTCTTTCCAGATTAGGCTTGAGTCAGATGGCATCAGTGCCTCCCATGTATTGAATGCAGCAGGCAGAATAGACCCCAAGGTTAGAGTGTCCCTACATTTTTTGGTGACCCTGACCTTACTTGTGACCCCTGATTAATCAATGCTGGTTCTGAAAGACACACATTTTTCCTGAGAGTGGTAAAAGTCTTTGAGGAGAGGGTTGATTGTGAACACCGAAGGAAAATAAATAGACTTCTATAAATCAAGTGCCTTAATTGGCACAGATGCAAACATTGCCGTAAAAGAGTTAGAACTCATGTATATTCTCCCTTTTTTTGAAGCCACTGTGGTTGATCCCGTAATCCCTCAGTGGAATTACAGCTCCCAGGCACCATTGTTGAGTGCAGAGGTATTGAGTGTGGAAGCTCTGGTTCACATATAAGAGAATTTGACAGAA